TATAAATAATGATCTTATCAGCTGTTGTAAACTTAGAAACAGTTCAGTATGTATATTTATATATATGCACCTAATAATCATAACAATTCAATACGTATGTAGATGGTTAACATGTTTTTCTAGTTAGTATTTCAATCAATTACCTTCCTTATCTATGTTTATCTATAGCCAATCGGTTATGATTAATGATCTATTCAACATACTGATTCTGATAGAAAAAAATCATGAAAGTGGTGTGACAAACTTCTAAGGACATGAAGGTAATAATAATAATAACTTATATTATCTATATTTGTGGTGTTTATGAATATTTAATTTGACTTCTTCTTAAAGTTTACCTTTAATAATTATCTCCTTATCCTCGTTACTGTATTGTCCAATAATTACATTGAACAAAATAAGAATAATAGACATAAAATCTGAATTCATTGCATATATAACTGATGATCATAGTTTACTTTTATTGAAAATCTAATTTTATACATTTCTGTTATCTTAATCATAAAAAAATAAATTCATTTATTGATATAAACATTGTGAAGAATTATAAGCAAAGATGGATAGTGGCTAGCAGTGGAATCCAGGACGCCAGTTTCCTCCTATTTGGGTCTCGTCAGTTAGATGTACCTGCATCACAAAGTTGATGTTCACTATGGGACTCGAACGCAGTACCGTTCGCTTCAAACGCCATCACGTTATCCACTTAGCTACTGAGTCCTGATAGCCAACTGCTTGTGCAATGGGGTGAAGTTTAAATTCAATTGGTATTATTTACTTGAACATTCACATTGATGTTTATAACTGAAATTGATCAGTTTCTTATTGGTATATGTGTATACTGTAAGTAATGCCTCGATATTGCTAAGAGACTGATCAATTTCAGTCCTAAACATCAATGCGAAGATTCAAGTAAATAATATCAAGTGAATTTAAACTTCACTCCATTGCACAAGCAATTGGCTATCAGGACTCAGTAGCTAAGTGGATAACGTGATGGTGTTTGAAGCGAACGGTACCGGGTTCGAGTCCCATAGTGAACATCAACTTTGTGATGCAGGTACATCCATCTGACGAGTCCCAAATAGGACGAAACGCGCCTCCTGGCTTGCACTGTTAGCCACTATCCATCTTTGCTTATAATGCCTGTAAATTAAGGGAATATCGAGGCAATACTCACAGTATGCACATATGCCAATGAGAGACTCATCAATTTCAGTCCTAAAAATCAATGGGAAGATTCAAGTAAAACAATATCAAGTGAATTGTGAAGAATTGTTTCTTAAAACTATTATGTGTATTTATTAAGGGATTATGAAGATTGGTGAATTTCATTGAAATAGTGAAAAGATTAATGTTAGACCACATGTGTGAAATTAGAAGCATCAGACGTCCATTTTGTCCTAGTACGGAACTCCTCAACAGTGCACATACACGATCCTGCATGCAAGATTCGAATTCAGCGTCCTCGGTCTAGGGTGAACGCTTAAGTTTTAAATCACTGAGTCAGTATCTAACTGCATTAATGTCTAACTTCAACTAATCCATGATGTTTCGCGACCAGCTTCCTTTATCTTCAGTAGAAGTACTATACTAGAACGAAACAGCTATCCAGTGCTTCTAGTTTTCTAATGATGTTCTAACATTGATCACATAAATTCGTCCACCTAAAATCCAAGTCACGACCATTTAAGTTTAACCATGTCTAAAGTGAGCCGGTTGCCCTTCATCACACCACAGTGAGTGGATGACTGTCCTTTTGTTTCATGAGTGACTTGAAGTTGGAAATATTTTCCACTTGATTTCAATTTGGTTGTCCCAGTGTATTACATCCTTTGAGGAACCTGGATTTTCTGATTTCTCCTACTAACGGTGTATATGAAAGCACTTCTGAGGAATCACATAAGTGGATAAAACATCTCAAAAGTGCCATGTGACTTTCGAAACACCGCAAACCTCATAATCAAATATAGTTGATGAGTAAATATACCACATGGGACTGTAGGGAAGACATATTTATATTTATCAGTGCCTTAAATCCTCTAAGCTTACATGACCTTAACTACAACATAAAAGTTGCTTATAAGCTATGCAAAAAAACTAAATAATTAACAATGAGTTGAGTATTGGCTTATAACTTTAGAATTCACATAATCTACATCGGTTTATGTAATCGAATAACTAACATTGGCTCTTATAAAAATTGTAACTTAAATCCTAGTACAAAAAGCCTATGTTTTATTACATTTTAGTTATGTAATTCATAACTTTGATTTACATTTAATTTGACATTGTTTTTGTATGACTTTTACAGTAAACTCATGTAAAACACCATTTTGTAAACTACTGCAAAATAGGCTATAAATATTTAGTTGGATTCGAAATTTCAGTTAAAATTATAAACATCTATAGATATAGAAAAATGTTGACGATTTCTTGTTAACAAATAATTATTTCAATTAATATCATGAATGGATGAATGGCAAACCACTATTGAAAATCTGGAAGCACTGGATGGCCGTGGCTAGTGGAGTTCAAGCGTGTCCGTTGTATGGGGCCGTTACTCACTGAAGACGATGGTGGACGGTCGGATCGGTTGGAGTTAGACATTAACACCGTTGGATTCCGGCCGGCTCAGTGGTTTACATTTCAAGTGTTCGTCCGCGAGGCCAAGGGTCCTGAGTTCGAGCTCCGCTTACGGAATCGTGGATGCAAACTGCTGAGGAGTCCCCTACTAGGACGAAACGGCCGTCCAGTGCTTCTAGATTTTCAATAGTGGACTATTATTCATCTATTTATGATATCAATCGAATTTCAACAATCTCCACAACCCTATACTGGAAATAATTATTTGATTCACTTATTGGATCAATATGTATATACCGTGTTTATTTTAAAAAATTCACATAACTCTATATATTCTATTGTCCTTACTCGGAATCCTTTTCTAAGCAATAATGTAGAGAATAATTGGGATGGAAAATATAATGATTTTAACAAAGTTCTTCCTTTATTCGTTTTCTTTTTTTTAAGTAAAAGAAAAATTAATAAAGTTCTATATGGGAACTAATGAATTTGACCAAATTTAAGAAATAGATGATAATTAACTCGTTAAATTATTTAACTTAATTAAGTCTGCTAATATTAATGAGATTAAAACAAATGTAAATTTCCAGTAAAAAGAAGCATCATTCACAGTCAGATTTGTTTTAAAGTATTAACTGATCGAATCGGATAACTCCTGTTTTTGTTAATGTCAACAATAATGAAAGATTGAATATAAAAAAAACTATTTGTTCACTAAATTCAATTGGTATTATTTACTTGAACATTCACATTGATGTTTATAACTGAAATTGATCAGTTTCTTATTGGTATATGTGTATACTGTAAGTAATGCCTCGATATTGCTAAGAGACTGATCAATTTCAGTCCTAAACATCAATGCGAAGATTCAAGTAAATAATATCAAGTGAATTTAAACTTCACTCCATTGCACAAGCAATTGGCTATCAGGACTCAGTAGCTGAGTGGATAAAGCGATGACAGAGTGAAAATCAACTCTGAAATACAGGTACATCCATCTGACGAGTCCCAAATAGGACGAAACGCGCCTCCTGGCTTGCACTGTTAGCCACTATCCATCTTTGCTTATTTGTTGACTGTTTATGAAAATTTACCTTATTAAGAATGAATAAATCTCAGTAAATGAATTTCTGTTAAATTATTATTTTAGATTGTATAATTAATAAAGAAAAACTATCATTCAAAAATGGATTTTTTATTGCTGCTTCTATTGCCATCACATCTGAAATAGTATCCTAAGAATTCATGAGATCTAGTGTATACTAGTTAGAACGTAGAAGTATAATAAAGGTTACTCAGCATCAAAATTTACAAAAATCTGCGATACAGAAGCTTCAAGAACCGAAATCCTGGCAGAAACAGGAGCTTGAAATTCGTATGAACAAATGATGTACCAACAATAAAACTATTCTAAACATCAATATATAGCTATGCAGGACAATGTAGATGGATTTACGGATATATATAATCCGGTTAATACAAACATGTTAGTTCTTAACTATCGTTGGTCTGTTGTATAGACGAAAACAACATATATTTGGTCTTGTATATATTGTGACTTTCAGCTGATCATCTTGATTATCACATACGAACCGAGTTCTCGGAAACTTTTTGTGTCAAAGTCTATCTAAAGTCGTTGAAATTTGAATCAAACCTAAGAAAGGCTCAAGTATAGTTCCTTGTGTACGACTATGAACTGAAACCACATAGTAAGTAATGAGTGACGACATGTGAAACAAATGGGAATCTGAAGAGCTTAATTCAGAGGAAGCCAAGGGGTGCTATGACCAATGTGATTAGAAACTAGAAAATTTCATCACTATGAGAATGGAACATTTTGAACAGACAACTCATGAATAAAATAAATAGTAATTTAATAATAATGATCAGTTGATGAAATACTGGGAAATCAAAGTGGTGCACATCTGAAATCAAAAGTAGAAGATTGAAAAAGTAACATTTTTTGACAAAAAGTAAAAGTTACCTAATAAATCTTTCAAATACAAACGCCAGATTTCAACTCAATAAACTGTTTTTTTGACATCCAAACTTTTTATTTATTGTAGGAGTAATAATAATTAGAAATAGTATTTCAACATTTTAGTATTAATGCTTATGGTAATGTCTCAAAATGAAATTGACACTAAATATTTCTTGTTTGCCTTTACTATAAAATATTCATTGAAAACCAAGGAACATTCGGCAGTTATTAAGTTTTTTGATGAATCTCTCCATGATTCTGTCAGGGTCGAAACACACAACATTCAACCTTGTCTGTAAGTTTATCAACTTTACATAACTTTATTATTAGAAATTTATAATACTGTGAAATGAACATAAATTGTTTACTCTTTAAATTCACCGTTTGAATAGTTAAAATCTGTTTATGTAATATATGCAAAAATCAATATACTTACCCAAAAGCGTTGTTTTTGTGTATCTGTTTCTTTTCTGCATTTATCGTTATTGACTATATCCGTTAATGATTGTTTTTGAATTTCACATTCGGATTTTTCGTCGAATTCTGTGCTTGTATTTGATTTTTTCCTTGATCCAACTCTTTTAGGCCATGCAATTGGCATAGATATTGATGTAGATGAACCAACTGGATTTCTACATAATGACTTACTTTTTCCTTCATGAATCTCATGTGATTTCATTTTTAAACCAAAACAATAATGAGACGATGTCATGGAATCATCTGTAGTTGATTCAGCAGTATCGTCATGATTATAATTAGACTTACATTTTGTTTCTTGTTCCATTTGTTGTAGTTTAATAAATTAGATGTTTTGTCTATCAAAAAAAAGAACAATAAACAGAAAAGTTCAGAATTTTGGCTTATATGTTCTTACTGACACGAGCAAGATAACAAATAAACGAATAAGAGTACATTCATATTTCATTTTATCTACTGCTACACCGATCGATTGATAGTACTGGGGAAAAGTTATTACAACCTGCTTTCTCAATAATAAACTTTGCAAAATATGGGCTTAGATTATATGTTATCACATCATCTATAAACTTATTTTACACATAATGTCATACATGTACAAAGACTAGGTCAATAGCTTCTAGGATCACTTAAAGTTCATATTATATACCAAAATTATTATGATAGACATTCCTGAAAAAATAACACCAAGTCTGCAATTTGATTAACTATTTATGTATAAAGTCAAAATATTGAAATAAAACTTGGGCAAATCCCAACTGCGCCACACAAGGCAAGCCCTCACATGGAATCCTCAAGGCCAAGGGAGAAGAGGAAGATAGTTCCACTGTATAGGGCCGAAACCTGGAAAACTACGAAAGCCATCATCCAGAAGATACAAATGTTTATTAACAGTTGTCTACGCAAAATACTTTGGATCTGTTGGCCAGATACTATCAGCAACAATCTACTATGGGACAGAACAAACCAGATCCCAACGGAGGAAGAAATCAGGAAGAAGCACTGAAAGTGGATAAGACACACATTGGGGAAAGCACCCAACTGAGTCACAAGGCAAAATCTCACATAAAATCCTGAAGGCCAAAGGAGGTGAGGAAGATCAAAGAACACATTACTTTGGGAAATGGAGACAGACATGAGAAAAATGAACAAAAATTGGATAGAGCTGGAAAGGAAGGCCCAGGACAGGGCGGGTTGGAGGATTCTGGTTGGCGGTCTATGGTCCATTGGGAGTAACAGGCGAAAGTAAGTAAGTAAGTAAGTAAGCGAAGAAAGTATAATTAAAGTACATTAATATTGTATTTAGTATAATTAAAAAGTGTGTTAAATAAAAAACTTATTAAACATGCAAAGTAAGCTGATTCATTTTATTTATTGAGTTATAGTATTTATAAATCTTGTGCTTACTCAAATGAATATAATGCATTCTAGTAGATATTTACTTAGTTGTTTCTAAAAAACGTATAGACTACTTATTAACACGATTGTTTATAAATCCTTTCCTATGATAAATCTAATTACTAATTTCATATTTCACTTCTATTCAATATATAAAAAGTATAGCATAATTTAATATCCGATTTACCCTTAGGATAAAATGACATATTGTTACAGAAGTCTGACCTTGATAAAGATTTATTATTAGTAGTATAGTAACATGTCACTTTTTGATTGAAAATAAATTTTTCACCCTAAGGTAACAACAGCTGAATATTGAATATTGAACGAAAAGACACTTAAAAGTATATAGAAATACATGTTTAGACATATTAATTCCATTTTATAAATTATATCGTAGAAATGTGAAAGTAAGGTTTATTTAAGTATAATAGTAATTGATAATAATAGTTGAAGAGGTATTTCCTGGAGTTCTAGTGAGAAGTATTGACCAGTGGAGTTCAACCGGGTCTGTTGTGAGATAGTAACTCACTGGAGACAGTGGTGGGTGGTGGTTCAATGTCGTGAATTGGTTGAAGTTAGATATTAACACCGTTGGATGTCAGCCGGCTCAGTGGTCTAGAGGTTAAACTTTCGCACGCGAGACCGGTACGTCCTGGGTTCGAATCTCGTGGGGGGATCACAGATGCATACTGCTGAGGAGTCCCACAATGAGACGAAACGGCCGTCCAGTGCTTCCAGGTTTTTTATGGTGGTCTAGCTTCAATTCGATTAACTTTCTTATCCATAGGACCGGATGACTAGTATAGTGTAGGATAAGAGAGGAAAACTAAGGAAAACTTTATTTAATAGAGAGTATTCCTTCAATCTCATTGAAAAGTGTATCTATCAACGTAAAAATAGGATAATGACAGTCACAATCAGAGAAAAGCCTTCTACCTAAGAGTCAATTTTGAAGACGACATACCTGAAAACATTCTACCATGTTAACGCAAGAAATCTTTTGAAAATATGCATAATACCATTAAACTGCATGTTATCTTGGCTAATCCAGTAAGTACAAGCAGAACAAAGTTTAGGATACCAATAGTGAGCCTATCAATCTGTTTATATCATTTTAACTGCTTCTCTGAAACTAGTTGCGTGGACTGTACTCGGAAGGCTTTATACTTGAGCACTTGTAAAAATGTATCGTCATAGTCAGGAAGAGTAGTCAGGAAATCTATAAATAAATTCTTAAATTCATAATTCCCTTTCTTAGTTCACATGATTTTTTTATCACTATAATCATGATCATCCTGACAACATACATAACGACTAATTTCATTATGTTGATTATAAGCAAGCACTAAAAATATGGTTTTTCATCTTTTCTAACTGACCTTTTAAATTTACAGATGACTCCCTATGTGTGTTTAGACAGTAATCGATGTAAAAGTTTAATATATGTTATCACTTAAATGACTGATGATATGACTCCAAGATGGTCTTAACCACTTTTAATCAATCAAACAACAGGTGACATATATGAGTAACTTAAGGTACCGAATGAAATAAATACAAAGTAATATTGTTTTGTCAGATTGAGTATTGCTCATTTTGTCTTGAATTCGATAGAAGAATTCACCTTTATGAATTTAAAGCATTTTTACTTAGGATCCATTTTATAGTCATAAAAAGTTTTCTGAACTACACCAAATACCCCCACAATTTTGGTGTGTGCCACTATGATTTTTGAGGAAATTAACTAACGGTACACAAACATATATACTGTAAAACAACAGGTACAACAGTTGTTCTTTATTCTTTTACCCACTACATTAAGAGAAGAATTATTTGTTTGAATTTAAACTTTTAATTTAGGAAAAAAATATTTCCTAACTGCTTTCTTATGCTAATGCGAATGGTGTTTAAACGTCATATCATTTCATATTTCTTTAGGTTCTCTCACTGACATTTAACATTCGCAAATAAAACTGGTCGAATTCTTTAAGAATCCAACAACTTATAACAAATTTATTACAGTTTCTTCACTGAAATTAATCATGATACGACAAAAGCTAATATCTTATTTTAATTTTTACCTCATGGCTTCAAAATCGTTTTGGTGAACGTAATTGTTTCTTAATTATAGTTAAATTTTGCCATAATTATGGATTTAATAACGGTATAGCCAGATAATAAAGTAACTGAAAATAATCGTTGACCTAAATATTCTTGTTTTGTTTATTTTGAATCAACAGAATCAAGTTTTTAAAAAAATAAATTTTTCCTATTAATTTTGACAAGATAACGTTCATTATCATATAAAGGAGCATAGTTGTCATGGAAATTTGATTATATTCAGATTTTATGGGGTTTACTTATAAATGTCAGTAATAAAATAATTGTCAAATAATAAAATGTTTACATTTGTTCGAACGAAAATATGTAATTGACTAATAGGATTAATTTATCATGAACCCAATAGAAAACTAGGAATTCTAGCAAAATATTATTTATAATATCTACAAAACACTTCTCTGATTATAATCATTATATGCTTACTAGTGACGGTCTCCAAGAGGTATTTCTTGGAGTTCTAGTGAGAAGCAGTGATCAGTGATGTTCAACCGGGTCTGTTGTGAGATAGTAACTCACTGAAGACTGTGGTTGACGGCGGCGCCATTCAGTGAATTGGTTGATGTTCGACATTAACACCGTATGATGCCGGCTTAATGGTCTAGACGTTAGGCGCTCGCACGAGAAACCGGTAGGTGCTGTGTCCGAATCTCGCGAGGCGGTATCGTGGATGTGCACTGCCCCCAAATGCCCTGGTATGGCCGAGAGCGGGGAGGGTTCGCCCTCCCTCTCGAAATACTCTCACACGGCCACGCGTATACAGCCTCTGCCAGGGAAGTCCTACTCACTGCCTTCTCGTGGCGGGGGTGTTGTTTACGAAAATGAGAGGACGAAAAGCGAACGTCCGGCGCTATAACCGGATCCCAATTCTATGGTGCACATGGGCTCCAGTATCCTGCGGGAACAAATGGCATATGAACCAACTTTTGGTCACCGGCTTCCATGGGACTGCATCTCCTCACGATGCTCCACTGCCTTGTGGACTAGACCTTTAGGTCAAAGGCTCGGGGTGTGGCCCCCTAAGAAAACCACCTGCTTCGGTCTGGGCACCCGGGCAGTATCCCAGCCCACTCACTAAAACTATGATGAACTATCTGCTTATAGAAAATATTCGTTTCTCTCCGACTAACATTGAAATGACTGGTATTATTATTATTATTATTTACTACGTCATTTATTCACTATCTCCTATTTCTACTTTTTGTATCCGCTTCGACTCAGACAGCAGCTCGCCTATGGTGAAAATTCAGCTTTATCTAAACGTTCTTGCAGTGGCTAGAGACGTTATCAGATATGGCTCAGAATAGAAGCCAGTGGCGATCCTGCTGTAACCTTCTTTTACTTTCTTCATAAAAAGTGGTTGTATCTTCCTTAACTGAAAGATCTCTTCTGATTGTACCTTTCCGTTTCCCCCACCATTGTTCTCTCTCTCTCTCTTTTTTTTTTTATAATTCCCCACGTTCATTACTTTTTTTTTCTCTTTTCTCCTTCTCTTCAAATTATCATTGTTTTGTGTGGCGCATATATATTTGGTGCCCCCCTGTACCAATATTTATGTGTTCAAATAAATAATAAATAAACTGCCGAAGAGCCCCACAACAGAACGAAACGACCGTCCAGTGTTTCCATGATTTCCATGATGGTCTAGCTTCAATTAACTCGTGAATTAAACTATTAAAATTATTAAATTCTTATTTAAAAACAATATATCACTAATTATTTTCTTATTGAAATAATAACAATCTTCTAGTGTATTTATTTAATTGTATTAACCACTTAAAGTTGTTAGTATAAGATAATCATAAAATAGTTCAAATCC